GGGAAATGGATACCCCAGTGTCTTCTCCACCCCACCCCTGCCCCAACAGATTCTAAGGTGACAGCAGAGTGCAGCGGGTGAGTTCCCAAACCTAGGGCCAGAACTCGTGTTCTGACACCCTCGTTTCCTGTGAGACTTGGCAAGTGTTTTGACCTTAATGTGCCTCAGTTCCCTCAGCCATAGAAGGGCAATTAAAAATAATATTAATACCCACTTCACAGGGCCATTACAAACTGTCAATTAGCTAATATATGTACAACTTTTAGAAGAGTACCTGGCATCAAGTTTGGCTATTATTATTATTATTACTCTCTTTCCCACCATGTCAACTATGCAAGTGATTTTTAATGGAGTGAGGGAGAGGGACAGAAAGGAAGGAAGGAGAAGCATGTGAGAATTCTGTGACTCAATGGTGAACAATTAATAAAATATAGATTTAGTGTAATTGACCTTCTGCCCGAAACATTCAAGTAGCAAAGTTTCTCAAAGTGTAGAACGGTATACTTAAATTTAAGCCCAAGTTACCACGTCATTGGCCTCATCTGAAACAAAATGTGTGCTTGTTTTTTGTAGAGGCGGTAGGATCTACCTAAGTGAAATCCAAGAGAACTTTCCCTGATGATGGGAATGTTCACTGTAATCTGCACTGTCTGTCCAATACGATAGCCACTAGCCACATGAAACTAAGAAAATGAATTTTTAATTTTATTTAATTTTGGTTATTTTAAATAGCCACATGTGGCTTGTGGCTACCCTACGGGGCAGCATAGCTCTAAGGGATGTGATATACAAGCTCGCTCACAGAGCCACACTGCCATTTCACACCTCCACGCCTCTGAAGCTGGTCCCTTTGTCTGAGATGCCTGTCCTCCCCATCCACCTCCAAACCTCGTCCTAAGTCTTGTTGGGATTTCATTTCCTCAGGACAATTTTCCCTATCCTCTTCCTACCTTACCTCGTCCCCACTGCCAATACAATCTACCGTGGCTTCCTCTGTGTTTCTAGGAATCTCTTTCTGTTGCTGCTGTCACCATCCCATGGTTGTAATTTATTCTCGGTGAAACTCACAGACTATGAGAATCTTGAGGACCAAGTGTTATCCACCCCTTCATCCTAGTGATGTATGCCTATCCCATAATACATGTGCAGTAAATTACTGCTGATCACATTATTAATTTTTAAATATGTGCAATGTCTTATTAAAATTATTTTCAGAATACTGACAACCATTCTGTGATTATGGAAACAATTAAGTCGAAGTCCATTTTAAGGCAAATTTTCAAATAATTAAAAATTCTTAGAGTATCAATTGAAGCTCCACTTATTTCAAACCATATCAATATAACATTTCAGTACAAACCAAAGAATATAAGTGTTGGCCTGGAGTTCCCTGGAACAAAATCCTACCTACAGCTGCACCTCCTAAGGGTCTGGAAGTCTCTTGGATTTCAGAAACTGATCTTGTCACTGATCTGTCCCCAGTGCCTTCAGTGACTTACTAGGGAGACATGGATGAGGTTTAAAAGCAAGAAGATCAGAGGACCTGATTTAAGACTCCTCATGGATACAGTAAATAGGAATTCGGGGTAATCTACCCTTGCTGCACCCCCTATCCAATCCTACCTCCACGAAGTAAATAATTAAAATCTTATCTAACATGAAAAGTAATACCCATGGGTGATGTGTATCTGCACAGTCACATGTGTTATCCAAAAAAGAATTGTGTTTTTCCCTTATTCCTTGGCAAAGCTTTTGCTCAAGAAATCTTCTTTTGGTATGTCATCAGTTGCCATATTAACCTGGCCTGTCAGCCACACTGGTTCATTTTTTCATGATGATTTTCTAACTAATTTTTTAGCTGGATTCCCATACAAGTATTCCTACCATTAGAATAAGCTCTTGATGGATGCATTTCTATAAACCTAATTTGTATGAGATATCTCCCAAATACCAAGCATCTAGCAAGTGTATTTTACAAATTATTGTCTTTTCTGCCCTCCAGGAACCTATAGCTCAGCAATGCAAACAAATAGATACACAGTGACCAGAAGTGCATACTAGTAGGTACAGCATGGCAGCAGGACATTGCGGAAAATGGATTTCAGAAAGAACATGAATCCCAAGGACTTTATCTTTAAATCAGATACAGATTTGACTTTTACTTTCACATTAATTATGAAGTTTTCTTTTATTTTAAAATGCATAAACAGCACTTTATAGCATAATGAACATCAATTTAACAAATGACTGGGTTCTTCAGGTCATTCAGATAAATCTCATTTTCCCATAATACTGATAGATTTTAAATGATCTTTTCTCTGGTTTTCCTTTCTTTTTGCCCAATACATATCTCCCAGAATTTTAATCTAAGAAGCTATTTCAAAAAAGACAAAAGTCAAAAATATCTTTTGAGGCTTCTCAGGAATAATGCAAGATAAATGTATTTCCCTAAGATCCTTTAAATTTAAATATAGGAATATCAATTTGTCATTTTTACTTCCTTATAGAATCCGCCCATCTAGGAAGAACACTGATTAAGTGTATAAATTAAGTTCTACATATTATTGGTGAATTCTACTAATATAAGATGCACTTATTTCCAAAATGTATCTACTACTGCTCATAAAAGGAAGATTTGGTTTTCAAAGATCATGTTTGGGGTTTAAAATGAAGATAGTGACCTTAAGTCTCTCAAGATTTGTAAGGCTGGTATGCCATCTATCTCAATAATACCTAACAAGAATGTCAAATGGACAGAAACAGCCATGGTAAGCGGGTGCTTGCAGCTGACAGTGATTGCTGTATTTTGGGTGATGGGGAACAGCATTTCCATTAGTTCAAGTGAAATACAATGCCCTGCCAACTCTAGGTATCAGTGTATTCAATACCCCTGCTGTGCCATGTCCATTTTCTGTTGCTGCAATTAAAAATCAGTTGATACAAAGTCAAAATGTTGTACATTCTTCCCCTATCCCTTTCCCTGTCACTGTGTTTCCAGCTTCACCGGAAGAACATGTCACTATGGTAACCAATCCCTCTGGTGCACGGACCAAGTCAACCTTTCTAGTCAGACTGCCAAGCAGAGCACCAGGGAATCAAAGGCCTGAATGGAATCACCAGAAGCCACGAAATCCACCTGCCTTTCTCTAAGTAGGGTTAACCAATACCAGACAGAAAGATACCCGTCTTGTTCTAGAAGACACTCAAGAAAGGAAACTCAAGAATGTCCTTCAGCAAACCCTGCCAGTGTTTGCCAGTCTTATTAACTTGAATTCTCCCTCACATTCAGCCAACTTCCTCTCATTCCAATTTTAAAGAAAGCAGAAAATAATAGATAAAATAACACTTTATAAATCTGAAAATCTGAAAACTGTTATAAAGTGACCCATTGTCAACAACTATTCTACTTCCTCTTGTTTTCCTACTTCTCAAATCCAAGTTGCTCTCTTCTGGAATCCCCTAATATCCTATACATCTTTACAAAGTTGTAGAGTTCCAAATGAGTCACTCCGCTCTAGTAAGAACATAATCATGAAACAAATGGGATATTTGAACATCAATACACCCATAACTAAATCAGCTAAAATCCCTAGCCATTCTAAAGAAGCTACAAAACAAACCCTAAGATGGATTCTCTCTCTGAAGCTACCTCACCTAAACCAGTGGGTATGAGACCATTGAGACCAGATTGCACCATTGAGACCATACCCACTGCTTGTCATTCTTAAACGATTGACTTTTGTTTCAAATCAACAATTTTTTTCTGATCAATTTCAGCACAAATTTTATAAATCAAAGAACAACATCAGTTCTCACAAATATTATTTTAAAACATCATCAAACCTCACAGCATTATAACAAGAAACATTAAGGACTGCCTGATGCCTTGGCCTCAAGGCACTTTGCAGACAACAGCATGGTTGTCACCTTAGCATCAACATTTAATAGCTGAAGGAAATGAAAAGGAGAGAGGACAAGATCCACAAAATCAGCACATCCTCCCAGGATGCAGCTACCATAGGAGAGAACATATTCCTTTCTTCAGAGCAATATTAATGCACATTCAAACAATATTCTAGTGGGTTGATGAAACAGTGTGGTCCCAAAGTATAAATCATAAAAGACTTACACATTGCATCAGATAAGCAGACATTTTTTATTTATGTGATCTTATCAAAGTGTCAAATAAATTTTTATCATTAGTTAATGCAGATTGTTTTCTGTTCTGGCACAGTTTGAGTGTTTTTTTTTTACATAAATCTTCTGAAGATATTATTTTTTTTCCTCCAAAATGCCCACTTTGGTGTTACCCAAAGAACTACTTTTTGTGTGCTTATTAGACTCTGCTAACACTCAGTGCACACAAGTCGCTACTGTCAACCACTTTTTCAAAAGGAGAAATAAAGAACTGCGTGAGGATGCTACTGGTCAACAGGCTTTGAGCTGCTATAGGGCCTATGATTGACTGATGTTTATAGGACCAATGCCTGCACCATGCCTGGTATAGTACAGCACTCAGCAACCGGTTCTGGTGTGAATAAGGCCTTCACTGTGAGATGTTCCTCCCAATCTCTCTTGATTGATCAGTTCAACAAAGATTAAAATTAGGAGCCTATCTACCCTGCCCCCCCACACACACACACAGATCGCTCTTGAAGAGCTTCCTTTAGGAGCAAGAAAACCATGTTATAGATTCCCCTCCTTAGAGGCTGATGAAGCACTGCCCCGGAATAAAACCCCAGACCATGCGATTCCACTCGAATCCCGACAGACAAGCGCAAGGCAAGAGGCAGAGGAAAGAGTGAAGCCTCCACCACGCTTCATTATCAGCTATTGGAAGGCAAGTTCTGGCCACTTCCAGGCTTAGGCAGGCCTGGAGAACTGGACCGCTCGGAACCAGGAGATCTGACAGCCTGTGGCCAGGGGAAGGGAGGCGAGGGGCGGCGGGGCCTAGAGGCGCCGGGCTCTCCGCAGCGCCACGCCTCGCTCCTGGCGCTTACCTTTCCGAATGAGGGCGGCGATCTCGGGGTCGAAGCCCTGCCGGTGGCACTTCCTCCAGAGGCCCATGTTGGTGGAGTTGTACTGCCGGCTGCACTCGTCCGCAGGGCTCATGGCAAACAGCTGCCGGCGATTCCGGGCCCGGAGGAGTTTGCCCTCCCAGCGGTCCAGGCGCGAGCGGCTCGCCCGGAGCGGCAAGTTGTTGTTGTTGTTGTAAATGAAGCCCGGGTCGATCCGGCGGGTGTTGAAGGCCTTGCACCTGTCCCTGTGCTTCCTGGCGTCCGTCTCGTACCAGTGGTCCGAGCAGATGGCCACGGCCAGCATGCCGAGGGCGCAGAGCGCTAGCGACAGGCCCGTGTAGAGCAGTAACCTTCCGGCAGCCATGCCTCCGCTTGGCGGCTACACCATGGGCATGATCCGCCGCAGCCTCGCCTTCCCTCGGCGCGCCCGGAACAAAGCGGCAGGCGGCCGAGCTGGGGGTGGGGAGGGGGGACACGAGAGGGACTCGCGCGGCGGCGCCCCCACGGCCCCCGCCTACCGGTGCGCGGCCCCGGGACTGCGGGGATGGGGGCGGGCAGCCTAAAAAGTTCTGATCCGGAGAGGCTCCCGCGGGCTCCTGGGCATCCTCTAGGGCAGCTGCAGCCTCCGGCGGCGGCGAGCCCAACACGACCGCCTCCCGCCCCCTCCCCGCCCCGCAGGAAGCTACTGCTCCGAACCCGCCGCCCCGGCGCGCAGTCCGGCTTGGGCGCCGCTGCCCTCGGGCCGGAAACTAAATGCCAAGTGTCCTCGACTGCGGTGGGGCTTGCGGGGGCTTCTTTGTGCAGGGTGGTGACAGGAGCGACTCGCCTGGCTTTCTGGGGGAGATGGGGCTGGGTAGTCAGGAGGAGCTGCTGGACAGCAGGACGCGGCCGGCCGGCAAAAGCAGCCTCCAGGTGCCAGGGCCGGCTGCCCTGAGTCCCGCCTGGGTCTCCCGCTCAGGGACTCTCCCCCTTCCGGTCTACAAGCGAAGACCCGGGGCGCGCGCCCAGAAATGTTCTTCTCTGGGCCGGGTCTTTTAAAAATCTCCGTCCTCTGGTCACCAGCAGGTCCCTTGCTCCTTCCGGCCCGCGTGCTGCGCTCAGAGGTGGACTCCCCGCGGACGCACTGTCTCGGCCGACCTTTCCCCGCGAGCTCCCTGGTCGCCTGCTCCTGGCCTCGCCATTCAGGAGGCCCCTTGGGCCGACGGCGCGGTTACCCTGGCGGTGTTACCGGACGAGTCCTGGCCCAGGGTTTGCGGAGACTGGGCGGCACCTGGCGGGCGCGAGGGGCGGGCTGAGCTGAAAAGGGCGCACCGGGCAGAGCGCACGGCGCAGGGCGCTCGGAGCTCGGCGCGCGGCGCCTTCAACACCATGGACAGGTCGCGCCGTCGCGGCGCGAGGCCGGCCCTGCAGCCAGCCCCCGGGGCGTCATGCCGCTCTCCCCAGCGCCGTCTTCTGCCTGGAGTGTCCACCCGGCCGCCTCCAGACCTGCCTCTCGCGACGCCTCCGCCTCACTTCATCTGGCTCCAGCTAGCCCCGGGAGCGTGCTGCCCAGGTGCAAAGAAAATGCTGCAGGCACGGAGAAAAACCCCTGATAGGGTCCGTCCCCTTCTCCTGCACCTGAGCCCCTGGCACTCTGGCACCCCGTCTGCTCTGCCTAGCTGGGCTCAGCCGCTTTCAGATTGCACCATTTTCTTCGCAGCCAACCCCGCCGCCGAGATGCCGGCTCGCGGCAGCGTGCAGAGAATCCCGTCCCGGCCTCGGCGTCCCACGATCCGGCTCTTGACGCGCGGTGGTCGCCGAGGTGAATGGGCGAGGGTGGGGGAGGGAGGCTGGGTCGCTCGGCTTCCCCTCCCTGCCTGCTCCTCTAGCCGCTGCGGCTCGGAGGCCTCGCAGGCTCAGCCTGTGCCCGGGAGGAGCAAGAGCCCAGGCTGCGCCCGGGGGGCTCCAAAAATCACATCGCCCGGTTGCGGGCGCCGGAGGAAGCCGCTGCCGCGCTCTGTGCTTGGGCGCCGGGCGCTGCAGCCTTGGCTAAAGCCCACAGACGAGAACACGGAGCGCGCAGCCAAAAGCTAGTGATGTCATCTGTGCAACGTGAGCCTCATCTCTTATTTTTCTAGCCTCCTTAAAGATAAACTGCACCATTTCCCAGGCACGAAATGTCTAAGCCTTATTCTTTGACCAGGCAAGTCAATGGTGTCTAGATAGGCATGTGCCCTACCACATACATATTTATGCACATATACATATATGTGGTATGTAGCATGTTTACATGCATTATTATAAATTTAGGGATGTTGCCTACATCTCCTATTTCTCTCTTTTCAGCCATGGAAATCCCCCTCAAATCCACCACAGCTCTTTAAAGGAAAGACTGCTTATTGCGGAGTTGGCCTTCAGAGGGGCTGACCGAGCTCCCTGCGTCCCTGGTTTCCGTCGCTGGTGTCGGGTTACGTTTGATCTTTGTTTTCCCCAGGAAGCCACAGTCGCTGCCTTGCTAGCTACGGGAGCCTCCGCCCGCCGGGGCTGGCTGCGAGCGGCCGCTAGGTTGTCACGGCCAGCCCTGGTCTAGTCCCAAGCCAGCGCCACGCACCCGCACCCCGACACACACCCACCTCCCCTGCCCTCCCTGCTCCGCAGGAAAAGAAAGAAGAGATTTGGCGTATCCATTCAAGACTAGAAGAAGAGAATTTTAGTTGGGGGGGGGGGGAGGTCGGTTAGTAGAGATTTTGAAAACACTCGAGGACTCGTGCTTTGAAAAGGAAGGTGGGGTCACAGAAAACCTATGAGTGGATTTGTCTTCATGTGGGTGGCCGCTGGCTTCAGGCCCTGCGGGGGCTCTGGGAGATCGTGCGGGACCCCAGACCCCGAGCAGGTGGGCCCCAGGCCATCCCCAGGCCCCCTGCTTCGCTCACGTGAGACAGCGCCGCAAGGGCTGGGAGCCTCCCTCCCGGCTCCAGACACTGGGGTTTTCACTTTAATGCTCATCCCGCATTTTCACCCTCACTCCAAAGTTGAGGTCCCACACTGCCGGGTCAAGAGCTGCCCTGGGGGAAAGGAGACAGTCCGGCACCCTGCTTTGCACAACCGGGCTTGTGGGCCAAAATCGGCGCACCTCCACCATATTCTTTTTGTCATTTTTTTCTCCTTCCTGCATTTTGAAAATCGCGAACAAGGCGTTTCAGTGCCATCTAGTGGGGGAGGGGCGTGCCTCGCTTTTGGTCCCTGGATCCTGCAATGGGATTTGCTGAAGGGACAGTATAGCCTGGGTTGCCTGCTGGATCTTGGGTGCCTGGCTGGTTGAGAGGCTGCAGGCAGGTGTTCTTGGCCAGATCCCCACCCTCTGGGTTCCCTAGGATGTCGAAGCAGAGCCAAGCGACCTTGTGAGAAGCACAGCGTCTTCTCACCTTGCTTTCTACTCGCCTCTTTACCAGTTCGCCCACCCCACAACCTTGAAAATAGGGAAACAAGCACAAATACTTCACACACGTGCAGAAGTCTTACATTTCTGAAGCCATTTTCTTCCATAAAACCTAGTGCACTGTCAGTCTAACAGGGTGCTTGCATTTGACAATAGGGAGGAAGCAGAGCGGTGAAATGACATCTACAAGGTCACTCAGGAAGTCGAGGCACACAGCTAACATTGGAGCCTCCATCTCCTGGTGGAACCGCCCTTTATTAAATTAATAGAGCGCCACAAGGTGGGAACTGTGGTTGGGGAAATACATATATAACCAGCCATGTTCCCTAGTTTGCTTTCCTATAATTGCCTGTTACTCAGGAGTCCGTATAGCTAATGGTCATAAAGATTCTTAGCTTTCTTCCGTAGATAACATCACCTTTGTGAAACCTAAAGCTAGTTTTTGAGATATCTTCCAGGCCCTGCATTCCGGTGGAAGAGCTGACCCACGCAGACCTATACCCAGGAACTGATTCAACTGGTATTGCAACACCCACGGAAGAATCAACTCAGCAAAGAAGACAATTTCTACACCCCTTTAGTTCTCCCCGGAACTCAGCCAATTAGCAGACCCAACTGCCTAGACTTTTGCCCACCAAACTATCTTTAAAAACTCTTTCTCCCAAATTTTCAGAGAGATGGATTTGAGAACTTCCTCCCATCTCCTTGTATGGTGCCGGCAATGTTAAACTCTTTCTCTGCTGTCACATTTGCTGTCTCTATATTGGCTTCCTCTTCAGCAGCAGGCAATGAACCTGGCTGGGCTGTAACACTGGTTTCCAACTCTCATCTCTTCTTAGAACTAGCTGAAGAAGGTGTTCCTAAGAACTTTAGCAGTCTAGGAAGTTGCCTGTTCGCAATAAACGTACCTGTTTATTTTGTCCTCATCTTTCCTCCCTCTCCTGTTATTCCACCTCTTTTGTGCTCTTGCTTTTTAACTTTTTCTCTTAGGCCTGCCTCCTAGGATGTACCTTACCCACTGCCTTCATGGTCCTTAGCAGTTTTGTGATCCTGGCCCTTCTTAGGGAAGGGATCCAAATGGTACCCTTCCCTCCTCTTTTCTGAACATCATTAAAATTCTATTTTGAATTTTTTGTCTTTGATGAAATCCCAAATATCCTAAAGAGACATTGATTCGAGGCATCCTCTGAAGTGCAATTACCTTGGGCATCCCTATACTATTGTGGGAGGATCCTGGTCCTCAGGGCTCAGATGGTAGATTCTTCCTCCAGACTATATGACTACATGACTACCTTTTTTTCAACTGACTGATCTAGCTTTCTTCCTCTCTCTCCTTCCAATTCCTTCCACTCTGTTAGCTAGATCATCACAGTCTCTGTGTTTCCAACCTATTCCTTCCCATTCTCACCAGCACTCTCCCAGGATCATAGAATCTCAAAATCAGAAGGCAATTTAGAGTCAGCCACACCAAAATGCATGAATCTCTCCTAGAACATTTCCCAAAAAGCTTCTGCTTGCACACTTGAAGTGATCAAGAAATTACTCTGTCTACAAGCAGCCCACTCCACTACTGAATAGTGTGAGTAGTTAGACAGTTCTTCCTTATACTGAGCCTTATCCTAGGTCTCCATAACTTCTACCCACTGGCCTTTGCTTTTGCCTTCTAGAGGCCCACAAATGATGCCTGATTAATCTTCCATTTAATGATCCTTCTTGCACTTGACATCAGCCATCATTTTTTCCCTAAGCCTCGTTTCTTCCAGGCTAAATATACCTTGTTCATTCTTTCCTTGTGCTTGCTTTTCTCTGGTTTCTGATACCTCCTGATTGTTAGTGCTCCATTTAGGTAATACCTCCTTCATCTGACAGTCATGTAAACCTATGAAGAAGAAAATTTGGTCAGTCTGTCTTGTTTTTACATGACCTCTATAGAGTTCTAATGATCCTCACCTCCTCTTATGGGACCCCATAAGCCATCCCCTTGTTATGCTATCCTAGAAGCATGCCCCAAAATGGCATTAAGATCATTGATTTACAGTTTGTGAATCTACATCTTTGAAATTTGGAATTCCATTTGCTCACACCACCACTCTTTTTAAAACAACATTCATATTTTGTAAGCTTTCTCTAAGGTCACCAACAAAGGTTGAGACATCATTGACAGTCTCTCAGTTTCCTGGAATACAGTTCATCTAGAGCAGATAGATGCTTTCCTACAATTTCTTCACCCATTCTGAACTGTCCTCAGTTACCATATTTGTTCTACCCCACACCCTGCCTTCATTGTGAAAATCCCTCTCCTGGATACTGTCAATTGAAAGCAAAATAAAATTGGATAAGGTGTGCTTTCTCTTTTCAATCTATATCACTATGACACCATATGTCCAGAGAAAAGGCCCCCCGCATGTTCTTATTTCTGCTTTAACAATTAATTTTGCAGTTTGGACATTATTTGTTACCCAAAAGTTATTTTGAGCTTAAGCCCTCCTGACACAGTTCCCCAAGTCTATGACATGCTAGTATTTATGTCTGAACAGGTACCTTTCTGTCCTTACAAAGACCTTCAGAGAGTCATACTGGTGTGTTTGATGACCTTCCTCCTCTTCTTCCTTGTTAGTGTCATTATAGCAAAAAGCTCTTTTCATCTCATCCCTGGGCATCTAAGTCCTCTCCATGCTTTTATTTTTTGCTTTCTCCACCTTACCACCACATTAATCTTCTTAAATTCTATAGTTATCCTTTACTCAAAATTCTGTAATAGTTTCATTGCCTGTACAGTAAAGCTCACATGCCTTACACCCCTACAAGACCCTGCACAAGGCTTTTCTAAAGATGACCTATTTTCTAAAAATGACCTCCTCACTCTCTTAGACATACCCTCTAAACATGTTTTGAAAGCTCCACATTGGCACCATTCCTCTTGCCCATAAAATATGTAACTGCTCTGCTTTTTAAGGTCCTTACAATTACAGGTGCCTTATATCAATAGGTCAAATAAATATCATTTGATTATCTCACTAGAAGCTAAAAAGACAACCAATTAAACCCAACAAACATTCTTGATATTTAAAAGCTCTTCCTAAACTAGAAATAGTTTAAAATGAATAAGATCATCTTCTGCATAAAGAAATATTTCAAACTACTAGGAATAAAACAACACAACAGAAAAATGGGCAAAGTTTTTAAAAAGACAAATTACAGAAGAAATTCAAATTGAAAATTAACATATGAAAAAAACATAATCTCACTACTAATCTAGGGAATACAGATTTATAAAAAATACTGCTTTTACCCATCAGATGAGGAAAAAATGCACATGTCTGTCAATGTCAAACATTGGCCATGCTCTCGTGCACTTCTGGTAGGAGTATGAACTGATAGAGCCACTTGGGAGGGCAATTTAGAGTAGCCGTTAAGATGAAAAAGACATGTTTCTTATGACCCAGCAGATATATTGCTAGGTATCTAGCTGTAGAAACACAAAAGTAAGGAATGTCTTTAGTATGCTATCCGCCATATTCATTTCCTAGGGCTTCTCTAACAAAGTGCCACATACTAGGTATCTTAAAACATCAGAAATGTATTGCCTCACAGTTCTAGAGGCCAGCAGTCCAAAATCAAGGTGTTAAAGATAGGATCAAGGTGGCCAGCTAGACACAGGTAGTATGTGCCTCCTCCACAGAAAGGAACCAGATAGTAAGCAGATTCTCACATTTTGCACAGAGAGTCTAGGAGAAAATGCTAGAATTCTCCAGGGAAGTGACAGGAAGCACCAAAAATGGGTAAGGAGAGGGTTCAGGGCAACTTGCCTGGCTGGGGACAGGCTAAGAGCTGGGAGAAGCTCCTGGATGCAGGGAAACTGTAAGAAAGAGGCCCCCAGGGCGCCACACTCCCAGACTAGCTTTCACGGTCTTGGCTACAAGAGAATCCCCCAACCCACACAAGTCTCAGGACTAACATAATGCTTGGAGAATAAACAGTGATGTTGCCCCATAAAGGGAGCCCACGTGGAATCCCCCAGGCACCTGAACCAAGAGCAGCTTGAGCTGGATTCTGTTCTGAGAGCCTAGATACCAGGGAACTATGGGTGCACCTGCAGCCACTGCATGGCTCTGAGGATGGATAGAAGAGCCATGCGCTCCCACATGCCCTGGGATGGTCCCCACTGCCCTGCTGTGGGCTGCTGTTGAGACAGCATTTTCATGTGAGCAGACAGCATTTTCCACAGTTTCTGGCCCATACTGCTTGCCCGAGTAGAACCCCAGCCTTTCCGGTTGCAGGCCCAAGACACCATTTGGAGAGTTTAACACTGGGCTGTGCCCCCACCATTGGGCTGAATTTGAGCTAACACAGCTGTAGCTTCCATCCAGCTATGAGAGACTGGGAATCCAGGCTTTCTAACACACATCTAGGACAATGCCTATCATCCTGCCACTGGCTGCTGTGAGACTGAGTGAGTAAACCATACTCCAACCTGCATTTCCTGCCAATGCAGCCTGGCTTACAAAGGCCCTACCCTTTCTGGCCACAGATCCAAGGTGCAATTTGGGGAGTTTAAAACCAGGCAGTGTCCTACCCCTGGGCTGAGTTCAGACTGATGCAGCTATAGCCCCACCCAGCCTGGGGAGGGACAGGGGAGACAAAGCCCTCCGAAGCACACTTAGGACAATACCTACCACCCCATTACAAGCAGATGTGGGACTGGGGACTAGTCTGCCCAATCCCATTGCAGCTACCAGTAGCACCAACAAGGACCACTTGGGTCCTAGTGGGTGGCTCTACCACAGCTACTGCCACCTTCCACATCACACCAGGGGCCTGAGATGTGCTCAGGGGACTGAGAACCCACCTGCACACATGGCCCTCTATTCCAACTACTAACTTCAGAGCAACTAACTTCAGAAAGCCCAAGAATTGCCCCCACAGGACACATTAACACTACTGCCAGCATAACCTGCTCTGGGGCCTTAAATCAGACATACTCAGCTCACTACTGCTACTACAAGGACTAGAAGACTGGCTCAGGTGGTATTCAAGTCCCCAGCAATGGCCTCAACTAAGACACCAAGAAAACATAGATACCACTGACCCTGTGTACTGCCTAAGAAATTATACTAAAATCATACCACTGCAGGTACCCAACATATATAAAACTTCAGGAAAAAATTCTCCCTTTCAAAAGTAATTTCAGAAATTGAAACAAGCAACTAATATATGTGCAGATATCAGTGGAAGACCACAGGTAACATAAGAAATCAAGGAAACATGATACCACCAAAGGACCACAACAAAAAGAATTCCTCATAATGCCAGGTAAAGAATCCCAAATAAAAAAGCTTGATGAGATGCAGAAGAAATCTGAAAGCCAATATAAAGAAATCAGAAAATCAAT